GCACAAGGGTTTTCTAATCAATTCAATTAGCCTTCTGAGCCAATGAGCAAACACATTGTACCATATGAACACTGGAGTTGATAGTGCTGGAAATGGCCTCTATACACCTATGTAGATATTGCACCAAAAACCAGACATTTGCAGCTAGAATAGTCATTTACCACATTAGCAATGTATAGAGTGTATTTCTTTAAAGTTAAGACTTAGTTTAAGTTATCTTCATTGAAAAGTACAGTGCTTTTCCTTCAAAAATAAGGACATTTCAATGTTGACCCCAAACTTTTGAACGGTAGTGTATGTTCTACTTATTCTTTCTTCACACATAGAGAAATCGCAAGGTTGTTGTGTGTCTCCATTTCTTTTTTTGCCACAGAACCCTTTGCTGTTACTATATGGTTTCCAGGGTACACTGTATTCTGGTTGAAAATTATCACAGTATGCACAGGTTCTGCATTTATATGTACTGAAGGGGGGAACTGATATATATATATTTTATTGTATGCTATAACTAAAATAAATTTCTTGTGACAATAACCATGTCTGAGAGTAAAAGTAAAACAGAGACATGTAAGAAAAACTGAAACACATGAAACCAGTAAAAATGCAGCGAGTAGAGATGAAAGAAATAAGCAATTAGTTAGATAGAAGCTACAGGTTTTGGGGAAAGTGAGGGAGAAGATCGTCACCTGTCCTCCTTTAGGCTGGTACTTGATATTCTCTGTGGAGCCAATCTTGGACCTGATGTTCTTGAAGTCAGGCAGTGGCTGGTTGATGATGCGGAGCTGCTTAGGCGTCGTTGCAGGCGACTTGGGTGGGGTGCGGACCACAGCCACCTTCCTCTCCTGGGAAATCAAGCTGAGGGAGCGCGGGGTTCCAGGGGTCCTTGAGGACGACGAGTAGCTGGGAGGGGTTCCTGGGGTGATGGCTGTGGAGCCAGGGGTGCGGGGGGTGGAGTGGCCACTGCGAGCTGAACGGGAACGCACTGCTTCTGTAACTGGTAGGGAGGAATATAAGAGTTAAGGTTGGAGCTGAAGGTGAAGGTGAAGAGTTATGATATTAACTACACCATGATGGAAAATTGGCATCGCCTCTACTAATTAAAGTCTAAAAGACTAAATATCTATGAGGTTGAAAGTTGGTAAGGTTGTTGATCAGTATGGAAGTCAATGATTACTTCATCAGATGCACTTTTCAGACCCTAAGACCATCTTTTGTAACTTATACAATATTTCTAGACACTGGAACACAGACTATTTCAAATCTTCTATTAAAATATTTTATCCATATACGAGTAAATTGCGTAAACTTAAATTTAATGTTATCCAATACAGTAACCCTACAAAGACAATTTTCATAGTAACAGAAGTATGAAGAACCCCCTCTACCTGTCATACTTGGGGCTCGTCCTGTCCTATGCTCTGCCCTCATCTCTGTGCGAAATGCTAAAGGAGGCACAAGAGAAAAGGTTTCAGATGTAGTAAGGAAGATGATGACAGGGGAAGAAGAAAATGAGAATCTGAGGTTCTTGGATGTCCAATTCCAAATGCATTCATTTGGAACGGTGCTAAAGGCAAGTTGTAAATAGAACAGTAGATCAAAAATAGTTTAAAATACAGGTGCATGACAGACTTCATACAGATATTCAGCTGAATAGCTATCAAATATAAAATCTAATAAACTATAAATAGCATTTTCAGGAGCAGATACACCTAATATTGACACATTTAAGCTAAGACTCATACTATACACTTTCTTATTCTCAGTTAAAATGTTGAGGTTTTCAAACTTTACTTTCTTGTACACTAGGTACCCAGATACAGTACATAAAACAGAATACATAAAACCCTAGGTATGTGTTTTTAGCTTCTTGGAAAGATGGATGAATGAAACGAGTGAAAATTGGCTAGCTAGGAAATTGGGCTTGAGCTCTCTTCAGTTAAATTTAAGAGAGCAATTATCATTGCTGGTATGGTATTTGTTTTCATATTGGTTGAATCAACTTGTTTTGGCACATACTGGACAGACAGAACTTCATGTTAGTTTTAGACCTAATCTGATCTAACACTGCTTAAATACTGGTACTGTGTGAATTAAGTAGATTAGAGGAGCTAGAGTTTACATGTGGGTCTGCGAGGAGCCGTGGAGCCGGAGCTGGTGATGGAGGTGGAGCTCTCCTCCTGGTCATGGTATCCACGGCGACTCAGAATTGAGCCATGTCGTGGTAGAGAGGACCTCTTGTCAGGGCTCCATGACCCACCATCCTGTGGGGAAACAAACACCAGAGACAAGAAGTAGATCGTTAGGCGAATGAGGCTATGATTTATTTATAATAAAAGGTGAAACAGGTGGGGAAGATTGCAAAATAAAAGCAATTTTTAAATAAATGATGTATATGTTTCTTTACATAACTCCTGCAGCTATACTTCTGCTTTTCCATTCACCTACCTCAGCTTTGAGTCTCTGTAAAACTGGGGAGCTTTGAGGCTCTACTGAGGATGACCGAGGTCTATCTAATGTGGCAGCCACTCTGGATATGGAGGTGGGGATCTTTGTTAGTGGCAAACGATGGGCATGGCACTGAGATGGTACAACGATGAAGCCCGACGGGTGAGTAGCATGACACCAAAATACAGGACACAGGGTGACAAAAGAATGGTGACAATAACAGTGCTTTAACATGCAATATCGGTGCACAAGATCTAATGCAGCATATTATAATCATGGTCCATCACAACAACTATTAATGCACATCGTGAACATCTCAGTGAGAAATAAAAATAGAAATAATAAGAATGTGAAGAATACTGTTCACCATGCTCATGCACGAATTCTCGTTACACTGAGAACCATAGTAACAGATATATTGGAAGACCGTAAACCAAAAGTGAAATATAATGTGGGCTCAACGTGACAGAATACACTTACAGTATGCTGTAGTGACATGACATTTAAGAAATGCAGAAACTGTGTTATTTTAGACACAATAACCGTCATTACCATGGTGGAGGAGTAAAATGGAGTCACGACCACAGTCGCTGGAGAAATGTCATGGGGTGATTCAACACCCACTCAGTAAAAAAACACTCTAAATGGATCTGTCTTGTCTACTTGTGCAAAAACCCATTAAGCAAGACAACAATAGCAAACATTTTACAAAAAGCAAAAGCAACCAATAAATATTTTTTTCATAAAATACAAAGGAAAACTAATAGTGATGTTGAAATGCAATGCACTGTTTATCATGCAGGGATTAGGTCTGAGAATAGACAGAGGGGAGGGGGTAGCTCTCACCTAAACAGTATGTAATGTGTTTATCTGAATAGATGATTAGGTAAGTCACAAGAGAAAATATGTAACAGCTTTAATAAGTCTTAATTCTTGTGATAATTATTCTGCCTAATTAATGTGGTGTTTGTTTCAGTGTCTGCACTAGAGATGCACCAGGTAACTTGTGTATGTATGAGTTCCATATCAAAAGCAAGAGGTAAAGGTTTAGATGTGAAGGTTTGGAATCTGTTTTGACTTTATTATGCATTAACCACATACTTTAATACAATGACATTTAACCCACCACAGCATGCTCAAGTTTACCAGCCTTTCTGTTATAAGACTCTTTATAAAAGTACACCCAAAAGATGAGCAGAACAGCAGATCTAATGTTGGAGAGTCCAGTTTTCTGGAGACGGAGAAATCTGTCCCTGCTGTTTAGGAGAAAATTTTGTTTATCTATCTTTGGTGTCAATTTGTCCTGACTGATCTTTATTTAGTTGTTCTGCTGTAAAGCTACTTGGTGATTCATGCTGTTTGTCAGTAAAGCTTCAATATGGTATGTCTCTGTGTGGTTTCGGTGACAGAGGTCAGGCCATTTCTGGGCTGGTGGAGTATACTCACTGATGCTCTGTCGCGGGACTGTCTGGCAACACTGAGAGGCTGACGACTGTCTGGTATCGCCTCTGAGACACAGACAGAAACAGAATTACAGGAATATTAGAACACACACAGAATATATGTTTCAACCTTCACACACGGAAGGAGCAGAAGTGAGATCCTTTTAATTGTCTTACAGAAATACAAAAATACAACTTTATATTCCCAAACCTGGCATGAAAAAACCATATATCAAACTGAATGATCTGTAGGAGTGGGTTGCTGCCCCCTTCCAAGCTCTGTTCTGCAAAGATTTGGCAAGATATCAGACAAAATGGGAGATTTTCTATTATGTAAGTCAAGCCTGGAAAATAATCTAATTGGGGCAATGCAGCAGTATACTGAGCTTTCATCATCAGTGACACACAATTCAGTCCGTCAGGGGAAAATTAAGTGCTAACTGCCTCTGGGACAGAGCACCATTAGTCTTATCAGGTCCATAGAACAAAACCATGGATTACTAGTTGCTTAGCAACCATAGGTCGAAAAAAGCTTGAGTGGATATGTAATTCTTCAAAAGACCAGAGAGGTCAGGAATGTTTAGGTTTGTCACATGAAACAACTTGCCAAACCCTTTAAAACAGTTGGAATAATTATATAAAATATTAGTATATTCATCTAACAAAGCATAAGTCCACCAATGAACACCAAGAACATAAATACAGTTGGCTGGAAATGGTAACTGTGAGGAAGGATGCATGTATATAGTAACTTAACACCAGCTGGAAATCTTGTTTTTGCTGACCTTGCTGTAGTGATATGGACGTGTAATTCCTGAAATCATAAACTTTCAACCACAGGGCGTGTTGTGAGTGAAATGATGCTTTCAGCTTGGTGTTAAGCTGCTTTTAAAAGAACAAAGAGAGAATGTGCACAAAAACAAAAACAAATGAAACATGTATAACAGTCAGTTTTTATTGTGATCAAAAAAGAAACACACATGACAAAAGCAAAAAACAGAATTTGACAGTGGAGGTAAGATGTGGTAGGAACTGGTGCTTTGGTGACTCTCATGCAGAAAACAACACCTGTGTGACAGACCAAGGTAATGTGTCACCTGTGGGTCTCCTTCTAGGACAGGAGTGGTGCTGGGTGGGACGGGTCTGGCGGACAGCTGGTTTCATCACGCTCCTCTTGGATGGGGATTGAGTCTGAGTCTCCATTTTTTTGTTAAGTTCAGTCTTCCTTATCACTGCTACATTATCAGACATAGGAAACAGGACCATTGACAAAAGCAGAGACACAACATTAAGCACAGATAGACGCTGAAGCATGTTACAGTATGGAATGCTACCTGATAGAACTTCTCCAGGAACCCTTTTTAGTTGTAGTTTCTGTTGTATTAAAAACAGCTGATTCATCAGTGTTTCAGTTAGTTACTAAGACTACACATTTCTTGACACAAACATTAGTATAGGTAAGCAATAAATCATATGATGATAGTGAATTTAGAACAGCAGTAAAGATATACAATATGGTGATAATATATAACTACAATATCTATGAATAACTACTTCAACTATAAAATATAAAGGAAAACATCATGAGAACCTTTTTTCTTCTTGACTTCTTCTTTGGGGATGTAGACTGGTTCTTTGCGGACAGGTTTGCGTTCTGGTGTGGAGATTCGGCCTTTTGGTCGCCCTCCTTTCGCCTTTGGTTTGACCAGCTTTTCCTGTTTCTCTGCCTTCTTCTGTTGTGTCTGCTTGTTCTGGACCACAGCAGACTTTTTGGCTGGGCTGGACATCTTGGGCAAAGGCTCAATCTGCTCTGTTGCCATACTCTTATCATCATCTGCGGTGTGGCAAAACAGGACATGAAAAACACAAGACAGTATTAAATTTGTTTCTTTGAAGCAGAAGAGAGAAGAAAGGGAAAAATAATATCTATATGAAGGTAAAAAGGAGATCTCACCTTGTGTGTCAACCCAGGAGCTGTCCAGGATGGAGTCATCCATTGTGGTTTCATCTCTATCGTAGCTTTCTGTTGGTCCTTCAGTTTCTACGGTTTGAGCCCCCTTCTCAGGGGAGGCGGGGGTCTCAGGAACATCACCCACCTCCTCTAGACTGGCAGCCTCAATATCTGCTTCTTGGGCCAACTCCACAGACTCCTCCTCTTCCTCCTCTTCCTCTTTCTGGGCAGCGACACAAAGGGCTTCAGCCTCAGGAGGAGCAGAGAAACGAACACTGTGTCCCGGCTCCTCCGTTTCATCAATAGTCTGGACCACAGTGATAAAATCGTCTTCAACTGTCACCACTGATTCAATGGCAGCACGGGTCTCTGGGATCTCCTTTGCTGCTCCTGCACCTGCTTTCTCGTCTTCCTCAACTTCCTCTTGCTCCTTCTCAGCCTCCACAGGTTTTTCAGCTTCTTTCTCCACAGGCTCCACAGCTGCTTTTTCCTCAGGTTGTCTTGCTACCTCCTTAGGCTTGTCTGCAATCTTTTTGTCCATCTCAGCCACTTTCTCCCTCTCTTCCTTCTCTTTCAGTTCCTTTTCTTTCTTCTCCTTCTCCTCCTTCTCTTTAAGTTCATTTTCTTTCTTCTCTTTCTCCTCCTTCTCTTTTAGTTCCTTCTCTATCTTTTCTTTCTCTCTCAACTCTTTCTCTATTCTTTCCTTTTCCTCTCTTTCTTTCCTTTCTCTCTCTTCTTGTTCTATCTTTTCCCTCTCCTCTCTTTCTTTCTTCTCTCTTTCTTCTTTCTCTTTCCTCTCTTTCTCCTCTTTCTCCTTTTCTTTCATCTCCAGCTCTTTCTGTTCTTTTTCCTTCCTTTCTTTTTCTTCCCTCAGTATTCTCTCTGCCTCTTCTTTCTCTCTTTCTTCTTTCTCTCTCCTTTCTCTCTCTATCTCTTTCATTTCCTTTTCTTTCCTTTCTGCCTCTTCTCTAATCTTCCTCTCTGCCTCTTCTTTCATCTTCTTCTCAGCTGCCTCCTTCTCTTGTGCTTCCTTAATTTTTCTTTCTGATTCCTCTTTCTCCTCTTTGTTTATTCCTAACACTGGTGAAGGTGTTCTTTTGGGGGAACCATAAACCTCTCTTTGTTTAAGCTTGGAAGGTGAGAGCACTGGGGAGAGCAGCTTGTCATCATCGATGTTGCTCTCCACAGAAGAAGCAGGGGAAGTTTTGACAGGCCTGGCAATTCGGTCCTTGGCCACGCCTGTGAGCTGGTACACATCTTCGGCATCCACTTCTTCATAGGCCTCCTGGTGGACCAGCTTCACCTTCTCCCGAAGTTCCTGCAGTTCTCGCTCCTCCTCCAAACTGAGAGGCCTGTCTTCCATCTCTAGTTTGCGGATCTGCCTCTCGTAGTCGGCAATCTCGGTTTCTGATGCTGAGCCTTCACCACTAGCTTGTCGTTCAGTCTCACTCTCTGACCTCCCACCTTCTTCAAGAGTCACAGTGACTGTTGGTGTCACAAAGGACTCACTTGGTTGAGCAGGTGGTGTCTCACTTACAGCTTTATTTAGCTGATCATCTACAACCTCTTTGCCCTTTTCTTCAACAAAGTCTTTCCTCTCTACCTGCTTCTGGTCTTTCTCTTCAGTGACATCAGAAACTCCTGATGGCTGGCTCTTGTCCTCCACAGATGTGTCTCTGACTGCTAATTTTCTAGCCTGCTCAGCCACTTTCTCCTCCAGGACGGAGGGGGTGAAGACCTGTGCAGAAGTGTCTGTAGGGCTGAACACATCTGCAGGGGAAGGCATGGGCCCTGAATATTCACTAAAGACACAATAGCCCATCTCTTCCAACTGGCTTTCACTTTTTCTGGGACTCAGTTCCCCTGAAACTAGGCTAGCCAGTGGGTCATCAGTGAAGGAAGGAGAATCACCTTGAACTGACTTTCTTCTGATTATTTCTGGGTCATTGTTTTCTGATGCCAGTCTGGAGCGGGTACCAGCAAGGTCCAGCATCTCAGGTAAGTCTTGTGCCATCACTGTTCCATTTTTATAGGTGCTCTTAATGGGCTGTGGGGATTCTGGTGACTCTGGTTCAGGGCTGGGTTTAGAAACAGCTTCAGTGGTCCTTGGAGGAGATGATGAATCTGAAGTGATGGAAGCTGCAGTCTCCAGAATAAGGGGAGGGAAGGATGGAGGCTTATCCACAGAGGGTGTAGTGACTGGGAGGTAGTCTGCTGACTCATCTAGACTTCCACTAGTGTATGACATGATATCTGTTGCTAGTGGGGAGAAGTTCCTAGGTCTGCCTTGGCCACTTTGATCCAGTGTTCCAATGGTGATGTTGAGTGAATAACTCCTCTGCTCTAAGGCTAGTTTACCTGGGGAAAGCCTGCATTCATTACTCCTGTCAGGAACTGTGAACACCTTAGTGTCTTCTGCTTTACTTATTTTAGTTTCAGGTTTATCCTGGGCTTCAGCTAGTGTGCTGTAGCTGATCTCCTGAGGCCTGAAATCAACTGTATTCTTCTCTTCACCAGCTCTGCTCAGTTCGTAATAACCCTCACCCTTACATTGGGGAGCCTCGTCAACCTCCATGGCTGATGTTTCAAAATATGCTGACATACCAGATCTGTCGCCTGGGTCTCTTGTTGAGTCTCCTCCTTGAACTTTGTCTCCTATTAAAGGGAATTCAGAGGGACCAACGATGCTGCTGAACTCCACTACCTCCACTGATGGCTGTTTCTCTGACACTGTGATTGGTTCACCATATGCAGGCTGAAGTGTGAGTGATTTGGCAGATTCTTTGGCTAGGTTTTGAACATTCGGCGGTACAAAGGATGGCATATCCATGGTGGGGCTCTCTGGTACAACTCGTTCACCAGCAAAAAATCCTTGGACCTGGGGCTCAAAAAACTCCTCTGGACGTTTCTCCGATCCAATGCTGTCTGGGCTCATGGAACCACTTTTCTCGCTGCCCTGCTTGTCTGAGTCCATCTTCAAAGCTGAAAGGACATCTGTAAGTTGGCTGTTTTGATCACCATATTAAGTAATGCTTTGGCATGCTGCGAGTGAGATATTTGTTAAGCCGGGGACTGGGTAAGCCGTTATCACAAACAGGCAAAGCCCACCTCAGAAACTTACAGCACAACGATACGGCCATCACTGAAGAAGTACGGCGAGATAATGGAGTCCACCAAGTCACAGATGGATGAGAGTATGGCATGTAATGTGACGGAACCGGCATGAGGCAACTGTGATGCTGATTTATGAGAAACAAGCCACAATAGATGGAATGGATATCCATGCGAATCTTCAAAACATCAGATACAAAAAGAATAGCATTTCTGTCATTCTTTGTATTGGCCAGTTCAAATCTATCTTAGTTTCATTAACATCAAATTCATTTTGGCTCTTAATGACGTTCATATGTCATTACCTAATTAAAAGAATATTAGCAAAAATACACAAAAACCTTGTTGGCAAATGACAGAGAAATGCCATATGTACACTGTTGCTAATGGTGACGAAAACAAACAAATGAATTTTGCTGATAAAATAATGCATTGAATGAGACAACAATACCACACTTAACATGAGACAGCCAACACAAAATCCTCTGCAAATTACGTACACAGAATTATGATAACAATATAAGTGATGCACCTTTAGTATGTATGATTCATGGTTACAAAAAGTGCGTAACACTGGCATACCAGCACCAAGCCATGTATAAACATAATGAGAACCTGTAAGCTTCTAGCCGGTGAACGAAAGCATTGTTACGCTCAGCAACACTTCACTTCATCATACCAATATGAAACGGCCGGCCCCGAAAACCACAGCACAAAAAAGAAGATATAAGCGCAAAGATAGCATACAATAAAACCAGGTTAAGTCAAAAGAATGTGACTCTTTTCACCAACAAGCCTGTGTTGCCTTGCAGCCACAGCAGAGCACAGGGAGGATAACTTGCCATTCCACCTGAATTATAATGCTTATGTTATATGCTTATGGGTTCCTTTTAACACATCTGGCGTTCTTATACAGTGGACAATGCAGTGACATGCAGGTAGGGAGAGCAGAGGGCAGGACACACCTGTCTCAGGGCATTCCTCACCCTCTGCTTCCTCCTCCTCTCTGTCCATAGAGCTTTCTGCAGCAGCACTAGCTGCTTCAGCCGGCTCCAGGTCTAGATCCTGGGCCACGTCTATGGCCTCTGCCTGCTCTAAGGGTTCAGCTTGGGGGCTGTCCAGCTCGGGCTCTTCCCCGCTCCACTGCTGCTCATCAAGAGCTGCCTCGGACTCTGCTGCCTCTGCACTCTCCTCCTCCTCCTCCTCCTCCTCCTCTTCCACCTCCTCCTCGTATTCAGCTGTAAGAGCCTCCATGGTCTCTTCTTCTCAAAAACAGGGTGAGAGGGGGACACATTAAGACTACAGGCAACACAGACTTGGGCTATGTGAGAACACAACTTATGATGGGACACTTTCAGCTCTAAGAAAAAATGATCTAGAGTGTATGTCTGTTCACACATATAGGTACATTACACATAGATAAGAGACTGTTGTGTCTATGTGGTTTTTAATTCTGTTTGTAAACTTTTCTACACTGGGTACTTAGTGTACCCAGTATGCAAGGAAACTGATATATTGGTTAAAGGCATGCATGAGACCTTTTTATAATTTCATTTTCAGTATTTACTGTATAATCACAAACTTAACCACCGTAAACGTCTCTCTTTCTCTTGCACACACCATGCCTGCAACCCAGGCTGATCTACTATCATTGGTGACTGAGGTTGTTTAATGAAATGGAAACATAAATGAAGTGGCAACACTAACATTGCACTATGGTAAAAGCACCTCTGCTCAGAGCCTACTTCTGAAATTTCTGGCTCTTTAGAAAAGGTGACCATGAAGAGCTCAGTACAGTCAAAAGCAGAGTGCCTCAGATTCTCGACTTTGCACGGACTGGATTTTTAACCGTGTAATGGTCAATGTGGGGGTGTGCAGCTTTGCTCTTCATACTGCTGTGAATCATTTTGAGTTATTGCGTAGGTTACACAAATTCTATTCAGCAGCTTTGCAGCCAAATGTCGCTGCATGTGATATAGCTGTTGGACATCCTTTGTCAGCAGTGATGGCAAGGGTTGGGGAGGCTGTCAATCAGTCTGTATTAAGATTATTTATACAATTTATATAGTTCCACAGTCAGTGACATACTCTTTACATATCTTTGTGTATGTATTTATTAAATTAATATATTTAAAAAAAAACATAGATGGATAGATATCAGGATTTAGAGATTGAGCAATACTAGGTCTCAACCAGATAAATGTTATGAATTGTGTTAGTCTAGCTTAGACATGCTGCTACGGAGAGCGAAATATTAAAGGACTTAAATTCTATCAGGATATGCTTTGGGCGAAGACAGAGGTCTCCACTGTTGAAGCTGCCCAGCCAAAGGGTTTGTTTTAATGGATGGATAATATAGAAGGCTATGTTGTGTATTTGTATAGCCTATGCATAAATAAAGGTCCTAGGTTCCCTCTATATTGTATTTGGGCAAACAATCTCTCAAAGAAACGGCCTGCATAATGTATTTGTAAACACATTAAAAGTGTAAGGTTGTCTCTAGATGTTTGCTAGTGTGTGGAGCTGAAAGTCTTCCTTGTTAGTGAGAGTAGTTTAGGATGAGTATAGGGGGTTTGACATGGTGAGGGGTCATCTTGAGGAATGAACCAAAACACAACTCTGGAAGATGATTGGTATAGAGAAATTTGTGCATAGAGGTCAATCATGCATGGTATTCATGAAAGCCATTTGGATCTTAACTCATGACCCAAATGTAAACCTTGGTGGTCATGTGGTCTTACTGATGAGAACTGTAGTGTATTGTCCATTGAGTGAATCACAAAGAAAACTTTGTCCTACTTTAGAGACATCACTGCTATGTGTTGGACGTAACGGCATGGCAACCACAGATAGCAATGGCTTTGGGTGAAATCAATGCAAAAAATAAATATGACTGTCAAACAAATATGAAATTGCTCAGATTGTGAGCGAACAGACATCACAAGGACATACAAACACACACAAAGACGGACGAAGAGACGAACTGACGGACAAAGAAACAAACTGACGGACGAAGAGACGGAGGGATGGAGGGAGGAGGTCAAATCACAGAAGAAGGAGAGGAAATTGGTGTTAAAAAGAGAAAGGAGAGAAACAGAGTGTGAGAGAGAGAGGAATGGTTGAGGGAGGGAATGGCAAAGAGGAACCATGCGTGGTTCACCTTCAATCTGTCTAAAGGCCACGGCCTGCCCTGTGGGGCGTGAGCCCGAGTGCGTCCACTCTGGGCTGAACAATGGGTGCTCATAGTACTCCTCGTCGGAGTGGTAGGGGTCGTCCTCGGGCACGGAAACTGAGATGGAGGGGGCGAGGAACTTGCACCTCTCCCGAGAATTTTGGAAGCGGCGGAGAGGCCCCGCCTCCTCCTCATCCCCTACATCTACAAACAAGACAGACACAAGGAGAAGAACTGCAGGGAAATCTGGACACACGGACTGAAAGAGAGAGTGAAGAGGAGGAAGAAGATAAATGAAAAGGAAGAAGAAAATGATAAAAGAAAATGGAGAACAAACTAAAGAATGTCCATCTTAAAGGTGATTTAACATAATACTGAGTCTTCAAATCTTTGTCTTTGAAAACATTGACACCAATTGAACAGGGGTTTTGGTATTTTGGTAAAAAGAACTAACAAAACAAGTGGATTATGGAAGTATAGTTTCTTAACTTAGAAATGTATTACAGTACAGTAGGACCATTGCAACAAATTATGATCATTGTATATAATATATATATAT